GGTTGCCTTAACCATTTCCATGGCTTAGGAGGCTAAGCCGCCAAGCACAAGCTTTTGATTTGAAAGGGGACTGCATCCCCTTTTCAAAGGAGCCTGCTCCCTAGGGCAACCACATCACACTGCTGATTTGCTGCAGTGGAGACCGCAGCGCGTACAATATGCCCTCCCCCCTCCGCCTGTGCTGCTTACAGCATCAGTCCGGAGCCGAGTGGGGAGACGGGAGCGATACCCGCTAACCCACCCATGCTCGGGAATGCCTGACTGGTAACGCAGTGCCTCCGACGAAAGGACCGGCAGTTCCTCAGCTCTCCGAGATGCAAGCCAGTGCTGATTCCACCAAGATGGACTGTCTTTGGAGCAACTGGAAATGTCAGGGTATTATATCTATTCTAGTGTTGCATGCTAGAAGGACTGCATGTAAGAGGAGGCAAAGGCAGGATCCATCCATTTTTGCATTGTTCACCTGTGGGCCTTTGCATGCTGTTTTCTCTCTCTCCCTGTGAAGCTTTCCTTTGGGGGTAATTTAAGAAAGAAGGAGAAAAAGCCCTTGATTTTGTTCTTTGAATGTATTTCTCCCGTCTCCAGCTGTCTCACCCGGAAAGCATCCAGGATACAGGACCTTCCTTCCCACCTTACAGCTCATTCCCAAAGCATCCTCCCTTGCCGTTAGCAGTTTCATTTCTCATCCCCGACTCTCTCCATCGGGCTGCCGCTGGCATGATTTCATACCTTTTGGGCTTTAGGAGAGCTGGGTGACGGTGAATTTGTGCAGTCTCGGGCTCGTGAGGGTTTGAGGCGGTTGCGTTGGGCGCCTGGGTGCATCCTGCCCATGGACACACCCATAGCGAGGGCTTAGCCTAGCGTCGACACAAAGAAAACGCAGCTTCGGCATGAAGTGCGATAGCACTGAGGCAGCCGTGGCACTGCCACCCGCTTTGTACTTTGCTGTAGGATTGCTTAAAAAGAAATAATTAATCCTTTCGTTATGTGTGCAAGCACTCTGCCAAGCCATTCAGGGGCAAAATACTGTGATGATGTTGTCTTGATGTTGAGTAGGTGAGGGGAACAATAGCATCTCCTTTTTGGGCTTATTTTCAGCTTACTTTGAGCAGGTTGGTGTCGGTGCTGGGTGGGGCTGGCCACCTTCCCGGGTGCCTTGGACAGCTTTTCAGCCATTTTTAGTCGGCTTCACACTTCCCAGCCAGCATCCAGCCTTTGTTTTGATAAAAGACAGTCTCTGTGACGCTGCTCAGTGGGCAGATTAGAGGGAGAAAAGCTAGCGGCTGATCCTACCAGGCCGGCGGCTGTCTGCTTTGGGCAGGCTTTGTTTGAATGTATTTTTTAATTTTAAGGTATGTGTTTATGCTGAACAGTCAATACATAATGCTGGTGCTTTCAACAGGGTCCCTGGGAGAGAGATTACTCTATAGCATCATCTCATTAGAGGGTCCAAGATGCTCGCAGACGTGATTTCATAAGCACAGCTTAATGTAACAGAAGCCAGAAAACCTTCCAAAAGTGTTTTCTGGGGAGCAGAGGGGAGGAGAGGTTAGGGCAGGGGGAAATCTTTCAGACAGACACTTGTCTCTGGGGAGCTGATATTTTTCCAGTCTTAATTCAGCACCTAATTGCATTTATAGTCCGAGGGGTTTTTAAGGAGGGGAAAAAAAAAGTTTTTTTGTAGCTGGAAAGTAAACAGATGCACCTGTTAAATGCCAGCCTCCAGCAGCTCAGGCTTTCCATAGCTTAATCAAGTTTCTATCTATAGGATATCTATAGGATTGCATGATCTGTTAAGCTTATATGGGAGAGCTACAACCAAACTTCAGGGTCTTTTCATCAGATAAACTTCCCTGTTAGATGGGGTTTGCGTTTTTTGTTTGGTTTCTTTCCAGAGGAGCTCAATATTTTGCTGATGCTTATAAAAGCATTAATTTGCTGAGTCAGATTGCTGAACCACCTGTATCTAGAGGCAAACTGAATATTTTCTCTCTATCAGAAAAAAAACCCCATAAATTAAAAGGAGAGGAATAACAAAGGGCATACTGCTATTTAATTTATTTAATTAATAATGAATAATTAATAATAATGATAGTGGGCTTTGTCTCCTTCTGTGCTTTCCTTTTTGAAACTGAGGTAGATTTCCTGAAAATTAAATAACACAATGTGCCCCATGCTGATTTGGAAAAAACCCAGACCTGAAAAAATCAACGCAGCTAAAATAAATCACTTGCCTCACTTCCCCATCATTTGCATATCCTTTTCTTTCTCTTGGGTGGTGCTTTATGATTCAAAAATGATCCTGCAGCAAACATGAAATAGTCATAGAATATTATTTCTGTTGGCAAAATTCTTTGATCAGTCTCAGATAAAATAGAAGAAATCTAAAATTCAGAAGAATGAAGGCTAAAAACTTGATTCGTTGATTCTTTAAATATCTATTATTCATGTAGTCTCTGTCTCAACCCAGAATATCAGTTTCTTGCAGACCTGGAGTTGTATAATTTTCCCGGCTTCATTATCAATGGAATTACGATTCCTCTCTGAAAACTCTGGAATATGTCTGTGAATGTAACAGATGCAGATGCAACCTCAATAAATACAGAGCATATTTTTACTGAAATTATGGAGATACAACATTGAGGTTAGTCTAATTTTTAATTAAAGGCAGTCAAGCCTACTACTAGCTGTATCATTGGTTTGACCTTATAGTACTTATAATTGGTGTAAAATTGGTGTAAAATTGGGTGGGGATCTTAAGAAGCTGCAGGGACACTTGGTGAAGTCTTGGCTTTGCCCACTAAATCAACACACTTTTATTTTCCTTGCAATCAAGCAACTGATACTGCTGCATACATTTAGAAATATTGCAATGTGGTTTACCTGTCCACCCTCCAGGTACAGTGTGATTGTATCTATAGTAATTCATGATACAGCCCCTCAGGGGTACGGAAGAGTAATTTGCCCCTGCTGGGCATGTGCTTCATTCAAAATGTTATCATAGGTGGCTTTGGGGATTGCAGCAGACTTCCACACCCAAGTCATCTTTCACACTGGAAGGTGATGCATTTGAAGTAGGCTGGGATGGAGCCATGCATAATTCATGAGCAACTGGGCATGCTGGTAGATGTGGGCCTCCGTGTAACAATCTATAGCCAGTGCCAGCTACATGACGCATCACAGTGTGCAGCTTCCAGTGGGGAGCTGCTGGATGAGGTGTGCCTCCAGGTTCAGGTGGTGGAGCAGGTCTCTGTGCCTTGCCCAGAGGCTCAGCCCAGCTTGGCAGGACTCATCCCCACACTTTACTGGAGATTAGGAAGATTAGGAAGGTCTTTGCACCCGAACTTGGTGGAGCTATTTGATGACAGTGGACTGGTCCCCATGAGTATTCCCTCTTCCACTATTTCTTCTACATGCCATCTTTTGGGTGGTCATAAGTGATATGCTTGTTCCTGCAGCTTCAACCTCCCACAAGACTTATTAAAAAGAAAATCTGAAAGATGCAGAGGAAAAGGCCAGTGAACTGTTCATAGAAATGATCCTAAATATTATCTACATTATAATTATAACTTAATGTGGAAAAGGACTGCAGACACCATCAAATCCATCTAGCTGACATAACTCCACTGGGACTGGAGTTACTGAGTGGCATTTTCTTGACAGTCGTTTCTAGACAACCAGCTTCCTTGCTGATCGTCTAGATTGACTTGATGTCAATTGATATATCCCTGACTGATACATCAATTGATTTCCAAAGAGTGCTGAGAAGCTACACCAACTACTCATGGCAACATTCCCCATGTTCAGACTGATAAAGAAGTCCAATGGCAATAATACTGATGCATGCTATTAATCTATAATCTTATTGACAGTTCTGTAGTCTAATTACAGCTATTATCATGAGAATATACCTTCAACCAGCTGGTACCTTAAGTGCTTTCCAGAAAATACCATGGGCTGAACTATCAGCTGGGATCCACATGTCTTGCTCAGATGAGCTCTCCCTCTTTTCAGCAGCTCAAGATTTGTCCCAGTAGTTGGTTCATATGTTGGACCTTGGTAGAGATAAAATCTTAGAACCAAGCCATAACCTGATGTAACTTATTTAGCTAATAGTTTCACAAAAGTTCACTAATTTATGAGGAATTGACTCCCTAATTTCACAGTTGATTTCCTGTGAAATTTGAATTAAATTTGTCATGGTTTTTTTTCCCACTTTCAGAGTTGCTTTTCATTTTTTAGAGTTATTTAAACTCTAGCAAGAGGGTGATGATGGGGCAGTAGTTGAAGGCAACATTGGAGGGCTGCTTTTGCTTTCATTAAGTCTCTGGGAAGTGAGGTTTGGTGAGGCTTTTTTGATATCAGAAGAGATACTCTCTCCATGTCAAATTCAATGCTCAGAAATAACATAGTTCTGAGCCATTCACTTCGAAAATCTGCATATTTTCAAATGTTTGCGTATAGTTAGGAAGGGTCCAGGTCTGTTATTTCGGTCCAAGAGCATATCAAGAACATCTGAATGTCTCCATAGCATTATATGCGTTAAGAGACGGCATTCATGGACTCTGCTTGGTCTCCTTGGTTTCTGCTCGCTTAAGGTGAGAGCAATAACATTCTTCACAAAAAACGGCCAAAGCAGGTAGTGATCTTGTTTGATGAGCAGGAGGTGTGTGGAGGAGGCTTTCTCCTGCCACTCTATTAAATCCTGGTCTTAAAGCATCTCTCGTGAAAATTACAACAACATCAATAATAGTAACAATAACAACATTATTAACAATACTAATGCAATAGACTTGCTTGCAGTATGGTTGTAGGGCTGATTTTTTTATTGCCAATCCTCTTCTGTCTACCCAAGCCCACTCTGGTTCCTCACATATGGCAGTCAATCAATACTTTTCTGCTCACATCTTGATCTTGCAGGTGGAATAGGGTATAATGTGGAGGCATCTTATATAAAGACTTTTCCCTGGTCCTATTCCTGCTCCAGGTCTCCTCTCATCAGAGTCTGGGGACCAAGAAAGTCTGAACTTTCAAGTTGAGTCTTGGGGCAGGTGGATGATAAAGAAAAAAGCTGAGTAAAGGACAAGGAGGTTAGTAAACAATGTGTGTACAAGAGGTAGAAGTATAGAGAGATCCCTCAAGGCTAGACATAATGGATAAGGAGAGATGCCTCATGAAGCAGCACAGATATTTTGTCTTGGCTCTGCTGTTAATCACAGCAGTCTCCTGAAGGCACCAGACTGCTCATTAGATGGTGTATCCATCTGTATTGTATTTGAATCAGATCTGTTGTGGAGAGCAGAGCAATGACCACATTGGATCCTTCACTGGTGAGAAAAGGGAAAGCCTGGTCCTGCAGCTTGTGGTTAAAGCTG